GCAAACTGGCAGGTTTTAAACTAAATAAACAAAAAACTATTATTCTAACGAAGAATATGTCAAAAGCAAAACAAGCAGAATTAATGGAAATCTCGGGCCTCAAAGTAGTAAATAAGATGAAATACTTGGGAATCTGGATTACTTCAAAAAATGCCCAGCTCCTCACAAATAATTATGAGAGACTTTGGAAGGAAATCAAAAAAGATTTGGAGAGATGGAAATTTTTGAACTTATCTCTTTTGGGAAGAATTGCCCTGATTAAAATGTCAGTTCTCCCAAAACTATTATACCTTTTCCAAAACATTCCGATAATTAGGAATATTAAAAAATTTAAGGAATGGACTAAGGACCTTATGTAATTTATTTGGAAGGAGAAAAAACCAAGAATAAAATACCAAGTGTTGACTGACCAGAAAACAAGAGGAGGCTTTGGATTCCCTCATTTTCAACTTTATCATGACGCATGTGCCTTAATTTGGTTAAGGGACTGGATGGCATTAAAAAGAGAGAATCTTCTCACATTAGAAGGCCATGACCTTCGCGTAGGATGGCACACTTACATTTGGTATGGCAGAGAACAAAAGGAAAGAAATTTTGGAAACCATTTTATTCGATCTTCACTAATCAGAATCTGGGAAAGATATAAAAATTATTTTTATTCAAAAATTCCCCTCTGGATCTCTCCTATGGAAGCGAAACAGAGAAGATTATTGGGCTGGACTATTTGGCCAACATATAAAGGCGTATTAAAAAATGGCTCATCGGAGTTAAAATCCCAAGCAGAAATAAATCAGAGCTTTCCTAAAATTACATGGCTACACTATTTACAAATAAAGAAACAATATAATCAGGATATTAAACAAGGTTTTCAAATTAAAGAGGCATTTTGGGATAAATTCTTAAAAACAGAAACAAAATGCATAACAAAACTGTATGAAAAATTATTAGAATGGTCAACAGAGACGGAAATAATAAAAGGATGTATGGTAAAATGGTCAGAAAATTTTAAAAGACCAATAGCACTATGCGATTGGGAAATAATGTGGAAGAAAAAACTCAAGTACACCTATGCAATGGACTTAAAGGAGAATTGGATGAAAATGTTTCATAGGTGGTACTTGACCCCAGTAAAACTAAATCTTATGTATAAGAATGTTTCAAAATTTGCTGGAAATGTAATCAACATGAGGGAACTTTCTTTCACCTTTGGTGGAGTTGTACAGAATCTCAAAAATATTGGAAAAGTATACATGAAGAAATGCAATTAATATTTAATAAAAAATTCCCAAGAAAAGCAGAATACTATTTACTGGGACTAACAGACTCTGATATAATATTGGATTCCAATGAGGATATTCTGTTTATGTATTTGACAACGGCCGCCAGAATTATTTTTGCCAAACTTTGGAAGCAGAAAGAAATACCAGATATACTACAATGGATAATAAAAATAAATGAGATAAAGGACATGGACACGTTGTTTTTATTAAAAAAGAACACAGGTAACATAACGAAACAGACAAATTGGTCAATAATTGACAACTATATGGGAACAAGATACAAAGAAGATTAACGGGACAGAGGACATTTGGATATAATAGAAGGGAACTTATTTTTCCTATATATACGTAGATGAAGAGATTGGTTAATGTGCAAAGCAGTATTAGAAGGGAGTCCAATCCCTTTTTTTATGAGTGATTTTTGATTTTTTTTTGTTGCTTTTGCTGCTTTTTTGGACAATTTTTCTTTTCTTTCTTTTTTCTTGGATTTTTGATTACTGAGTGATTGTTTCTTTTTTTCTTTTTTTGTACTCACTGGGGGTTGGGTTTGGTATTTTCCTACTTTTCTATCTTCTTATATTATTCTCACACTTTCACTGTAACTATATAAAACTTAATAAAATTCTTTTTAAAAAAAACACCTCCCAGCAACAGATTTTCCCAGGCTCAGGCAGGCCTTCAAATGCTAATGAAGGTGATCAGCTAAACATTCACACCTAACTGCAGCAGGTAAGAGCTCCTTGCCCCACCCCAGCCATTCCACAGATATATAAACCCATTGTCCTAATTCCAACAGACCTCACTACCTCTGAGGATGCTTGCCATAGATGCAGGCGAAACGTCAGGAGAAATGCCTCTAGAACATGCCTCTATAGCCCGAAAAAACCCACAAGAACCTGATGAGCCGAGAGTCGAGCGACCTGATGGCCCAGTATTCAGAACTGCAGAATCCAATAGCATTGGCTAGATTCTTTGTCTCGTGGCACGCCTTGAATCAGGTGATTTATTGGTTTTCAGTTGTCAATCATTCTTTTAGTGAAAAACTTTGTGAATTTTTTAATAAATATTTTTGTGAAAATTTATATGTTTATTTTGTGATAATATTGGATACTTAATTTTCTGGAAAAAATTAATTGTAACCATATTCCTCACCAACTTTCTCTAATGCTAATCTTAATCCTAACCTTACCCTAACCCTAACCCTAACCCAAATCTAATCCTAACCCTAATCCTAACCATAAACATTAAATGAACCCTATTTCCAACCCAAACCTAACTGTAAATTTAAACCTAACCTAATTTAAGCCAACCTTAATATTTTAATAAATATTTTTGTGAAAATTTCCATGTTTATGTTGTGATTATATTTGCTACTTAATATTCTGAATAAAATTAATTCTAACCATAACCCTAACCAACTCCCTCTAATATGGACGGTAACACTAACCTTAACACAAACCCTAACCCTAACCTTTAAACTAAACCTAACTCTAACCTAAACTATAACCCTTTGCCTAAACACAACCCTAACCCTTAAAGTAACCCAATTCTTGTCACAATGTAGGATCGAAATAGCAAAAAGAGAACCACTCACAAGACATTCAAAAAGCCGAGATTGCCTGGCACCGGCTGGCACTCCCTTATATACCCCCCTCCTCATTCAAATATCTCTCCCACCAAGCACAAAAACCCCGTGTAATTCACCCGCCCAAACCGCTGGCCGTTTTCTTTCAGGGTCAGCAGCCACAGATGTCTTATCAGTGTCCTATGTCAGAACCCTGGTTCCTGGCGCCAAAACCAAGGCCCTGGAAACTGGGTCCTGACACCTAACCATAACCCTAATCCTAATCCTAACCTTAACCCTATTTTTGGTAACATTTTGTGAATATTTTTGTGATTACTTTTACATAATTAGTGAATATTTTGGTGAAAATTTAAATGATTATTTTGTGAATATTTTATTGAATAATTTTGTAATTAATATTTTTGTGAAAATTTCCATGTTAATTTTGTGATATTTGATACTTTACTTTCTTAAAAGATTAATTCTAACCGTAATCCTAACCAACTCCTTTGAATGCTAACCCTAACCCTAACCCAACCCTGACCCTAACCCTAATCCAATCCTAACCCTAACCTTAAACCTAACCTTAACTCTTAAACTAACCCTAACTCTAACCCAACCCTAACCATAAACCTAAAACTAAAACTAACCCTAACTCTAAATCTAAACTAAATCCTTATTTTCTATGTCAAATAGATGTATCTCTTAACTAGTTTTGATAGGGGAAAACTGGTGCCATTTTTGGAATAACCAGGTCAAATATATCCAGAAACACATTTGAGGCACCAAAATATGTTAGCTAGTATTATTAACAGTATTCTTCAACGTGACGCAAAAAGCAAAATTGGGTCAATGAACTACATCTATATATATAAATCTGTTAGGAGAGTTCAACGGGACAGCAAAACTCCACAACCCCCCAACGAAACTGCACAAAAATTGCCATGCCCATAACACAACCCACAAGGTACAAACATATCTACTCAAAATGAAAAACAACACAACAACACACTCACAAAACGGCAAAACAACAAAACTCAAAAAAACCCAACGAAACTTAACCAAAATTCCCATGCCCATAACACAACCCACAAGGTACAAACATATCTACTCAAAATGAAAAACAACACAACAACACACTCACAAAACGGCAAAACAACAAAACTCAAAAAACCCAATGAAACTTAACCAAAATTCCCATGCCCATAACACAACCCACAAGGTACAAACATATCTACTCAAAATGAAAAACAACACAACAACACACTCACAAAACGGCAAAACAACAAAACTCAAAAAAACCCCAAAGAAACTTAACCAAAATTCCCATGCCCATAACACAACCCACAAGGTACAAACATATCTACTCAAAATGAAAAACAACACACTCACAAAACGGCAAAACAACTGAGCATGCGCATTGGCGCCCAGCCGCAAGTTCCCTGGCGCGCGCACACAGCCTTCAAGCCTTCCCTCTGCGGGAGCCATGCCCACTCCAAGCCCCGCCGCGCCGCTTCCCACACACACACCCCTGCCACACGCACACACACAACCCCAGCGGAACAGTCACCCCCCCCCCGCACACACACGCAACCCCACGCTCCATCACTCCGCCGCACACACACAAACCCCACGCTCCATCACTCCCCCGCCGCCGCACACACACACGCAACCCCACGCTCCATACTCCCCCGCCGCCGCACACACGCAACCCCACGCTCCATCACTCCCCCGCCGCACACACACACGCAACCCCACTCCCCCCGCCGCCGCACACACACGCAACCCCACGCTCCATCACTCCCCCGCCGCCGCACACACACACGCAACCCCACGCTCCATCACTCCCCCCGCCACCGCACGCACACACGCAACCCCACTCCCCCCGCCGCCGCACACACACACGCAACCCCACGCTCCATCACTCCCCCCCGCCGCACACACACAGCAACCCCACTCCCCCCCCGCCGCACACACACACGCAACCCCACGCTCCATCACTCCCCCCGCCACCGCACACACACACACAACCCCACGCTCCATCACTCCCCCACCGCCGCACACACACACGCAACCCCACTCCCCCCGCCGCACACACACACGCAACCCCACGCTCCATCACTCCCCCGCCGCCGCACACACACACACAACCCTACGCTCCATCACTCCCCTGCCCCAATCTTACCTCCTTTTACTTCACGCCACCTCCAAACCCCACCCGCCCCTTCCCGCCCTGTCAAAATCCAGGAAAGACAGGAAGGAAGGAAAGAAGGAAGAAAGAGAAAGGGAGGTAAAGAAAAAGGGGGAAAGAAGGAAAGTTAGAGAAGAAGAAGAAAAGGAAAGAAAAGGAAAGATGGAAGGAAAGAAAAGAGAGACAGCAGAAGAGAAAGAAAAAGGGGGAAGGAAGGAAAGAGGTAGAGAAGGAAGAAATGAGAGACAGAAGGAGGGAAAGAAAAAGGGGGAAGGAAGGAAGGAAGGAGAGAAGGAAAGAAAAAAGGGAATGAAAGAAGGAAAGAGGGAGTGAAGGAAGGGGGAAGATGTAGAGAAAGAGGGAGGGTAAGGAAAGAAGGAAAGAGAGAAGGAAGAAAAGAGACCAGAAGAGAAAGAAAAAGGGGGAAGGAAGGAAAGAGATAGAGAAGGAAGAGGAGAAGGAAAGATGGGAGGGAAGGAAGGAAGGAAGGAGGGAAAGAAGGAGAGAAAGAGGGAAGGTTGGCCACAGCAACACGTGGCGGGTAAAGGTTGTTATTTCTATTATTATTATTATGCTATTATTCCTATTAGACCCTGGGGGAATGGGAGAGGTGTCAGGTCCCAGAGGCAATGCATTGCATTATTGTTATTGTTATGATGGTGGTGAAATAAAAGGAAATAAAAAGTGAAGGAAGGAAGCAAACAGGGAGGGAAGAAAGGCAAAGGAAGAAAGGGGGAGGGAATGAAGGAAAGAGAGAAGGATGAAACCAAGTAGTGAAAGAAGGAAAGAAAGAAAGAGGTAGAGAAGGAAGAAAGGAGAGAAAGGGGGAGGAAAGGGGGGAAGGAATAGGTAGGTACCTCTCTTTCATAATAGTCCAGATATCTACCTCAACTTTGATAAGTTTTACTATAGGCCACAGCAACGCATGGCAGGGCACAGCTAGTTGATTATAGAAGCAATTCATTAAAAGCTGGGAGAAATTTAGTTGGAAAGCTTTTTTTGGACTATAACTTACATGTGTTCTCAAAAGCAGTGCTTGTAAAGTTATTAAAAATACAAGTTGGTATGCAGAGCTTGGAAAACTTATTTTTCAACTAGGGATTTTTTTTGTTAACTTATATTGGAATGGCATCTTTTGAACAACTTTCCTGAATGTATCAAACTCTTCGATACTCTTCTGTAACATCCAGTTCCCTACGTCTTGAATTTTGGCTCTGACAATGCAAGGCCCAAAATGCTGATGATATGGCAACCCACCAAACTATGTTTAAGGAGAGGGGGCTGCTTCTACCTTGAATTCTATTATCTGAAACATCTCACAAGCATTCACACTTACAATTTTGTTTGTATGTACAGAAAGCAACACATAGTTCATTATAACAAATAAACTAAAACTTTTTAGGACTTAGGAGTGATGAGTCTAAAACAAATCATGATAACCCTAATCTATTAAAATTATTTCTGTAAAATTAAAATATGTGTGTGTACATGTGGGAAAGGAAAGGGCGAAGCTGTTATTTGTTAAGAATTGCTATGACATTATCTTTACATGATACATTCATTTATTTATAGAAATAGATATATTGCTGTGCATGATAAAAGATACATGTAATGCAAATAAATATACACAGCTATTAGTTTGGCGTTCCTTAAAATGTTTGTCTATGCAATTTTCTTCCAAGAATATGAGAAATAAAACACTGTATAAATGTTAAAAGTGAAAATACGTATTCAACCATGTTAAAATATGAAGACATCCTGATTTTTAACTGCTCAGCAGGAAATCTTAACATTTTGTTTTGGACAGTAGTTTTCCTTGGAATGAAATGGAAAACCACAAGCTAAACTGCTCTTGTCTACCATGACTCACTAATTCATTTTCCTTGTATTGACAAAAAAAATTCTATGGGAAATAACAATAGCATATGATGATCTAACCATTATTTGGTTCAGATGACATCATACAGTAATTTCATGTCTCTAGTGTGAAATTTGAAGGGCTTTGTGGCTGTTGTCCCCCATCCAACCATCTTTTTTCCCCTTAAGTGTATCATTTTATTCTAGAAACCAGATGGTTAGGTGACTGCATCATTAAGACACAGGCACAGTAACTCCAGTTTTTGATACTCTGTATCATTTCAATGTAAACTAATCAGAAATGACCAAATACATGAAGATTGACAGATGTGCAGTAACTGCACTCTTCTGACACTTTGTGTGATTTCAATGTAAACTAATCAGAAATGACCAAATACATGAAATTTAACATATACATGCAGTACCTGCACTCTTTCTGAAACTTGGTATGATTTCAATGTAATCAGAAATGACCAAATTTAACATATCTGCAGTAACTCCACTGTTTTTGATACTTTGTATCATTTCAATGTAAACTAATCAGAAATGACCAAATACATGAAGATTGACATATCTGCAGTAACTGCACTCTTTCTGACACTTTGTGTGATTTCAATGAAAACTAAACAGAAATGACCAAATACATGCAGTAACTGCACTCTTTCTATGTGTGATTTCAGTGTAAACTAACCAGAAATGACCAAATACATGAAGTTTAACATATATGCAGTAACTCCACTGTTTTTGATACTTTGTATCATTTCAATGTAAACTAATCAGAAATGACCAAATACATGAAGATTGACATATCTGCAGTAACTGCACTCTTTCTGACACTTTGTGTGATTTCAATGTAAACTAATCAGAAATGACCAAATACATGAAGTTTAACATATCTGCAGTAACTCCACTGTTTTTGATACTTTGTATCATTTCAATGTAAACTAATCAGTAATGACCAAATACATGAAGTTTAACATATCTGCAGTAACTCCACAGTTTTTGATACTTTGTATCATTTCAATGTAAACTAATCAGAAATGACAAAAAACATGCAGTAACTGCACTCTTTCTGACACTTTGTGTGATTTCAATGTAAACTAATCAGAAATGACCAAATACATGAAGTGTAACATATCTGCAGTAACTTCACTGTTTTTGATACTTTGTATCATTTCAATGTAAACTAATCAGAAATGATCAAATACAAGCAGTAACAGCACTCTTTTTGACACTTTGTGCGACTTCAATGTAAACTAATCTGAAATGACCAAATACATGTTTAACATATCTGCAGTACACTGTTTTTGATAATTTGTATCATTTCAATGTAAACTAATCAGAAATGACCAAAAACATGAAGTAACTGCACTCTTTCTGACACTTTGTGTGATTTCAATGTAAGCTAATCAGAAATGACCAAATACATGGTTTAACATATCTGCAGTAACCACTGTTTTTGATACTTTGTATCATTTCAATGTAAACTAAACAGAAACTACCAAATACATGAAGATTGACATATCTGCAATAACTGCACTCTTTCTGACACTTTGTGTGATTTCAATGTAAACTAATCAGAAATGACCAAATACATGAAGTTTAACATATCTGCAGTAACTGCACTCTTTCTGACACTTTGTGTGATTTCAATGTAAACTAATCAGAAATGACCAAATACATGCAGTACCTGCACTCTTTCTGACACTTTTTGTGATTTCAATGTAAACTAATCAGAAATGACCAGATACATGAATATTGACATATCTGCAGTAACTGCACTCTTTTTGACACTTTGTGTGATTTCAATGTAAACTAATCATAAATGACCAAAAACATGCAGTACCCGCACTCTTTCTGACAATTTGTTTGATTTCAATGTAAACTAATCAGAAATGACCAAATACATGAAGTTTAACATATCTGCAGTAACTCCACTGTTTTTGATACTTTGTATCATTTCAATGTGAACTAATCAGAAATGACCAGATACATGAATATTGACATATCTGCAGTAACTGGACACTTTTTGACACTTTGTGTGACTTCAATGTAAGCTAATCTGAAATGACCAAATACATGTTTAACATATCTGCAGTAACTCCACTGTTTTTGATAATTTGTATCATTTCAATGTAAACTAATCAGAAATGACCAAAAACATGAAGTAACTGCACTCTTTCTGAAACTTTGTGTGATTTCAATGTAAACTAATCAGAAATGACCAGATACATGAATATTGACATATCTGCAGTAACTGCACTCTTTTTGTGTGATTTCAATGTAAACTAATCAGAAATGATCAAAAACATGCAGTAACTGCACTCTTTCTGACACTTTGCGTGATTTCAATGTAAACTTTCTGACACTTTGTGAGATTTCAATGTAAACTAAACAGAAATGACCAAATACATGAAGATTGACATATTTGAAGTAACGGCACTCTTTCTGAAACTTTGTGTGATTTCAATGTAAACTAATCAGAAATGACCAAATACATGCAGTACCTGCACTCTTTTGACACTTTGTGTGATTTCAATGTAAACTAATCAGAAATGACCAAAACCATGCAGTAACTGCACTCTTTCTGACACTTTTTGTGATTTCAATGTAAACTAATCAGAAATGACCAAATACATGTTTAACATATCTGCAGTAACTCCACTGTTTTTGATACTTTGTATCATTTCAATGTAAACTAATCAGAAATGACCAAATACATGAAGACAGCATGCAGTAACTGCACTCTTTCTGACACTTTGTGTGATTTCAATGTAAACTAATCAGAAATGACCAAACACATGAAGTTTAACATATCTGCAGTAACTCCACTGTTTTTGATACATTGTATCATTTCAATGTAAACTAATCAGAAATGACCAGATACATGAATATTGACATCTGCAGTAACTGCACTCTTTTTACACTTTGTGTGACTTCAGTGTAAGCTAATCTGAAATGACCAAATACATGAAGTTTAACATATCTGCAGTAACTGCACTGTTTCGGACACTTTGTGTAATTTCAATGTAAACTAATCAGAGACCAAATATATGAAGATTGACATATCTGCAGTAACTGCACTCTTTTTGACACTTTGTGTGATTTCAATGTAAACTAATCAGAAATGACCAAAAACATGCAGTAACTGCACTCTTTCTGACACTTTGCGTGATTTCAATGTAAACTTTCTGACACTTTGTGAGATTTCAATGTAAACTAAACAGAAATGACCAAATACATGAAGATTGACATATTTGCAGTAACGGCACTCTTTCTGAAACTTTGTGTGATTTCAATGTAAACTAATCAGAAATGACCAAATACTTGAAGATTGACGTATCTGCAGTAACTGCACTCTTTCTGACACTGTGTGATTTCAATGTAAACTAATAATAAATGACCAAAAACATGCAGTACCCACACTCTTTCTGACAATTTGTTTGATTTCAATGTAAACTAATCAGAAATGACCAAATACATCTTTAACATATCTGCAGTAACTCCACTGTTTTTGATAATTTGTATCATTTCAATGTAAACTAATCAGAAATGACCAAAAACATGAAGTAACTGCACTCTTTCTGACACTTTGTGTGATTTCAATGTAAGCTAATCAGAAATGACCAAGTACATGAAGTTTAACATATCTGCAGTAACCACTGTTTTTGATACTTTGTATCATTTCAATGTAAACTAATCAGAAATGACCAAAAACATGAAGTAACTGCACTCTTTCTGACACTTTGTGTGATTTCAATGTAAGCTAATCAGAAATGACCAAATACATGTTTAACATATCTGCAGTAACTCCACTGTTTTTGATACTTTGTATCATTTCAATGTAAACTAATCAGAAATGACCAAAAACATGAAGTAACCACTGCACTCGTTCTGACACTTTGTGTGATTTCAATGTAAACTAATGAGAAATGACCAAATACATGAAGATTGACATATCTGCAGTAA